AACTTAGTCTACAGTCGGTCGCATCCGACATTGCTGTGTACGTGGAATCTGAAGAAAGCCAAATCTTGCTGGGGCGAAATGCTTGTCACTCTTAACGCGACGCCATCTGTCGATCTAATTCAAATCATGGCGTTCAACACATCATTGCTTAAAGGTTCATATTCCAAATTATTTACTATGACGATTGGCCAGATTCCATTTGTCGCTCATCGCATTTGCCTTAAACAAGACGCTAAGCCGTTTTCTATATCGCAGTCACCTCCTACTCCGTTAGTGAAACGTACCATGGTAGGGAAAGCCATACAGGAGATGGTATCCAATGATTGCTAGAGCAATTAACTGTTCTGAATGAGTGCACCCTGTTTTCACGGTCTTAAAGAAAGACGGTACTACGTGCATACGTAATGACTGGAAGGCGTTGAACAGTCAGATCGTCGTCGAAAAGTTCGTTCTTCCCACAGTTTATGAGTTGCTAATCAAGAGAACTAGCGCAATACTTTTCTAAAAATTCGACCTGAAGAAGACTATTTTCACATGCCATTAACGCCAGAATCGAGGCCACAAACGACTTTTCTGACATCGAGTGGTCTGTTCCAGTATAAAGTTTTGCCATTGGGGCTCAGCTGTGCTCCTGCAGCAGAGTAGATCTACCAGGACAAGTTGCCTTCATGGATGATATTTGCGTTTTTGAGCCTTCAAGAGAAGAGCACGACTCAAGGCTACGCGCTGTAATACACCAGTTGGAGAGCCTAGATCTACGGCTTAATCTAGAAAGTGTACATTTTGTGCTTCTAACGTCGAGTTCATTGTGTACCTCTTATCATCCAGTGGAATCCGACCATGCGCTGCTAGTAATCCGGCTATCACAGAATCCCCCTGCCGAAGAATGCATCTGAGTTTAAGGATTTTCTTGATCTATGCTCGCATAACTTACGCTATTTGCCCGATTTTGCTGCCCTAGTGGAGCCCTTGAGAATGCTAATAAAGGAAATGCCACCATCGACTGAGACTCTGAACAGCAGTCTGCTTTTGAAGAAAGTAAAAGACGTATAGTCTCAACACCAGTGCCGGATCAATACCAAGATCATGACACCAGTACCTTGTCTGACTCACTTTTGTGAATATAGTGTCCGGACCGTGTCCGCCCGTTGTTCTGCTTTCATTAGTGGGTTCGGCCCCTAGTGATTCAAGACTCTGCTTGTACAGGGATCTAGCGTGCTTAGTGGGATACAACAGTACCCGCTAATACGTTGTAGCCAGATCTTTTTTACTGTTTCTGTTTGGCCTGCGTCTGCTGCTACTTGAACTTGGCGTACGGATGTTTGATACACTTGTCTAATCTCGGGATATAAGGTATTGCTGAATACAAAGATCTTCATCCGGTGTCTTGGACCTGCAGTCGGCAATCAGTCTGGATAATCTATCAGCAGGACCAAGCGAAGACATACATTTAAAACGAAAATCTAAATCGTATGCTACTAGGGTGGTTGTCCAACATTGTTATCTGTTCACCGTGGGAACGAGGATTCCACGTTTGGTGTTAAAAACAGATTTATGGTCTGTGTACAAAGTAAACCCGCGTCCATATACCATCTTATGAAATTTCCTAACTCCGAAAAAAGCGCCAATCCTTCTTTCTCTAGTTGACTATAGCTCTTTCTGTTGTTGTTAACGCGCTGCAAACATGCATCACAACCTTTTGATGTCTATTTGGGAACTGATGCAGCAAGACACCACCGATACCGTTTTGCGATGCATCCGCAACGACAATTATTGATACTACTGGGTAGGATGAATTAAAAGAAAACCGGAGGACACTATTCGTTTAATGTCCTCAAAGACTTTCTGGTACTGCGATGACCAATGCCACACTGACTCGTTCTCCAAAAGTGAATTTAGTGGGGCTCGGAGTTCGCGCATCTGCGGAACAAAGTTGGGATAAAGTTAACTAGACTCAAGAAGGACTGCAAAAATGCTACCTTCTTGGAGGGTAGCATTAACTTCATGGCTTTTATTTTGTTCGCGTCTGGCCGACAACCGGAACTGTAGATAACGGAGCCAGGGTATGTGATACTGGGCATCATGAGATCGCACTTCTCTGAAAGTACACGAAATTCAAATGAATCCATCCTGGAGAATATCTCGTTCAGGCGGGCTTAATGATCTTCAGCAGTAGAGCTTATAGTAATTATGTCAATCAACTAAGTCATGGCACATTGTAATCCGGATAACATGACGTCCAGCAGTTGTTGAAATAACGCTGGAGAACATTTAGCTCCGAAGGTAACCGATGGTAACGGCACACACCTCGATGAGTATTAGTACTGAGCAGTTCTTTTGAGAGCTAGTTGACTACTACTTGCAAGTACGCATCAGCTAGATCAAGTTTAGAATAGACCTTTGCTCAATTAAACTTTGAGAATAAATCCTCGGGAACAGGTAAGGGATATTGCTACGTTTCCAGTGCGTTATTTAATCTGGTAGAAAAATCAGCACAACTACGCAAACTGCCATTAGCCTTTCTGATGACTACAATAAGAGCGGCCCACGCTGAGTAGTTCACAGAACTGATGACGCCCATGGACTCCAGTCGACTAATTTCGGCCGCCACAGGCTCAACAGCAGCGTATGGTACTGGTCTTTTGGGACAAAATACTGGACATACACCGGCACGCGAAAGCAACACAACTTTCCCTTAGAACACATTCCAAGACCCTCTGCAAAATCATTGGGGTACTTACAGACCAGGTGTGATAGAGCTTCTGCGCTGTCTTTAAACCTTACGGGTGCAACCAAACACTGAAAAGTGGTGGGACACAGTGACAAACTATGGGTTATCAAAAATACTGTTCAAAGGTATGTTCAATAAGTGGAGTGTGTTTATCCAATCAATGCAAAACACGTTCAAGTGTCCATAAGGAGTAGCAACATACACCATTAGCCTGTAAATTGTGAAGTGCAAACTCACAAGTGAACTGTCCCAGAAATGCTAACTCCGAACCGGACGCCTCGTGAGCGACATGTAGGTCTACCGAGCTTACTCCATGTCGAGTCAGAGATTATTGCAATATCGGGAGTCGTGTGCAGTTGATGCAGGACAGAAACACCGCTTATCACAACCGTAACATATTTTGGCAATGACCGCTAGTTCGGGATGGTGGTTGCAAACATCACACTTGAAAGACAACGTTGAAAACTTTGAGTTTTGACAAAGTTTCGTGACAGTCTTCCAGAGGTCCGCTGAAAACATTTAGTTTACACTTGCAAATAGATTGCCTGAATGTCCAAAATCGCACGAAATGCTACTGACTAGAGCACCAACAAGCACTAGGCGGGCGTTCTCGGCGTGGGAAGTCGGAGAGATGTATTCATTTGTGCAATAGTCTGGAGCGTGTAGGAAAAGAATAAACATCCACAACACAATACCTGCTATCCTGTTTGTTCATCAGTAAGAGATGGAAAGAGCAGAGAGTGGGACCCGACATGTAGTGGTTGAAGGCTTACGGCTTAGCCACTAATCCAGAGCTCCGCGAGCATCGCAAAACAGAGTGACTGAAAGTTTAATTGTTGGGCTTGATGTAATCACTGTGTCTGGATTGTGATACGCAATCTCGAGTGAGGCCACACTTTACCTTGAAGCGAACCTTCCCCCCCTTTCAATCACTAGGACCGCATTTTAAGTGGAGAACTTCGGAGCTGCTCCCCGGTACTGCGGTCGTTTGTGGAGTCCAGCGTTGGGACAGAACAGCTCCGAAAATCCCTAAACTTGCCTTGCCTTGATTTTATCGCACCCGTAAATTCATAGTAAGCCAGATCTACTCCAGTTCCGGTTCGTCTCGTGTTCCCACTGTCGTAGTGGGTGGAGGCGATCGGGAGCCATACAATAGAATAGCAAGTATTTTCTTCTTATTTAACACTTCAAACTACCTAACTGAATAGAAGGTACCAGACATCTAGTTGACGAAAAGACGGAAAATGTTTATTTCATATGGGGCTACATCGTACTCCCGTGCTACCGTTTGTTTCCATTCTTCATGCGTACAGATTCAAAACTACCCATAAATTTTTTCGTTTACCAGTTATTTTTGTGCACTTTATTGCAGTTTCCCATCGCGGTTGTTGCAAATCGTGTCCATTTTTCGACTGATCAATTCTTCTATATTTTCGGCAGCTTTATAGCTCTGTATCCTATCCGGAATGCTACAGAGGTTTCCTCCCTCTGTGATCAGGAATGAGGATTTTGCATCGGCACCGGGACCCTGACTGAGACGACATCATCCTGTTTCCGAAAAGAATAGCTGCGATGAAAATCCGCTCCTCTGCTCTACGTGACAAATATCAGTGGACTAGTTTCCGCTACTCTTATTTGATCATATATATCAACTTTTGTTAGTATAATTTACACAGAAATTGCATCCTTTCGCTTCAATAGAGGGAAAGGAAGTTTTATTGTCGTCTATTCCAAAAAGGTCATCATCAGTATTTTTATCTACCTCGTTATTAACACAGGAGTTATGTTAATAGTTACACTGTTGCAAGAGGCTACAACCAGCGCTGAAGCGATGCGTACGCTACTGGCATATTGGACTTCTATCCCAAAAACTCATCAACCCATCTAATATGGAGTGTCTTAAAATCAACACAGCTGATAGTGCGGGATGCAGCTTCTAACCGGCAGCTCTCGTAAGAATCACCGGAACTTAAAGCTGGGTCATCGTGCCGTTAACACACCATCACTAACGAAACATCCTAGAGAAGCCATGAGTCAGTTTAACCTTACGATGCTTAGAAAACCGTCAGATGAAACAAAAATATGGCTCGGTTTAAGGAATTACGGAAGACCGTGTCAGCTTCGACCCAAAAGAAGTGTGCCGACGCATACCACCGCACCAAGACTGGACCAATCAAATCACAGGACACGGTTCATTCTATGTCCTAATTGGTTAAAAACAGTTCGCAAACCAGCCAACTGCTATTTTGCTTTGTGCAACAGCCTCCACCCTACCCCTAGTCGTTCACCCTAGTAAATAGTTGCGGCAACGCAATTTGGAAGCTTTACAAAAATATGTCACCCACCTCGGAGAGAGAGATTAGCAGTGAGAGGGATTGTGGTACAGACCAACACACAAACAAACCTACTAATCCTACTGACCATTACTTCGCATGCCTGCTGTGTGGTCCACCCCTCACCCCATTCTCGGCGTTGTTAGCGTAAAAATCCGTGACCGCTTTACTATGGTGAGAGTAAAACAGTGCTCCCTTTGGTAGCCTTTCTCTTGCGCAAGCAATAAGACGGGAGCTACGTACGCACGAACGCACGCACTCGAGCGTGCAGCGCTGGATGCGAGCGCTGGTCAAACAAGAACATGCATTGTTTCCGTTGAAAGGCATCGCAGTGATCCGACGCGCGGCGAGTGTTCACCATTGGGCATCAAGGTGGGGATTCAGTGTTTTTACCTGCGCATGTGTTAACACGGTGGAAGTGTTTCGGCGCCGGCCACAGATGCTAGACGCGATGACGGAACTATCTCGGTGAGTTAAAAACTTGATAATTGTGTGGGATTTATAGATCCACCTGTGTCGGGTAGTGGGCAATAGGCCTGTTCATAGAAACCGTTTTCTCGATAAACTGGACAGCAACTCTATATCGATGTCGGATAGGCTGTGTCAATTACCTTAACCGTTAACAGTTGTCGTATCTGGCGCGCGTTCTTGAACATCATACGTAGTTGAATATTCACTTGACTTGAAGTGAATACCACTGAACGACTGATCGGACAGTTTGAGGTCAAGCACGCACACTGCTTATGGTTACTGTTTGAAACGAGTGATCTATTAAGCACCATGTGTATAAGGCCGTTGAGGCAGCGGATAGAGTGCAGAAATTTCGCACATATGCACATTTTTGTATCAACTTGTGTGTGAAATTCGGATTTCCCTGCCTGGTGCCTGACGCCGTAGGCCTTGTAATGTCCATGAAAACATGCAATTGGGCTCTGTACCCTCAACTCGGAATCATTCACCGTTCGCTCCTCGAAACTCTGACACTGGACAGTAGATATATGTTGCCCGTCGATTGTGCGTTAATCTCCGAGCTGTTGTTGTCCTTTGCTTCGGACTAGTTGGTTCGAACGCAACGACAACCCGTCAGGGAAGGCTGATTCATTCAGTTCTTTTGAGATGGGGAGGGCGGTCACGAAATTCAGACCTCTTACATAGTCCAAGTCAATAAAGGTGGCCGATGACAGGTACACTTCCAGAGCTTTCGTATTCGGCTGGGGAAAATGCTAACACAAACCAGACATGATGTCATATGAGACCAGATTCGATGGGCGACCCAAGTCCTCCTTCGTTGCCGCTCGGCTCTTACACAGAGAGATTTAGCAATGTCATCAGAACCACGGTCACCTACTCATTAACGGCATCGTGTCAGACTACGTGTTCATTCGGTTATACTAAGTGACTGAGGTCACATGCATTTGGTTTGATTCTCCTTAGACAACTCAGATGTTTAATTGCTAACTTCCTTAAATAGCAGACATTTCATATATAATGGCCGTTATTGTCAATGAAGTCTATCATGCCTAGAATCAGTCAGACAACTACTAACGACTGCTCCATCTTATAGGGCTACCTCGGCAGGTCACTTTCCCTTGGCTAAGATTGGCGATCAACGCCACACGAGCCCAAACGGTTAGAGCAACTAACCAGAGGACTACGTTATGCCAGGGCTTGATACGTTATTGCAAGGGATATCAACATCGCAAAAATTGGCAGTTAGACCCCCATCCGACATGTTGCAGTCGTTCCCTGAAATTAACTCGACATTTGTGAAGTAGCCCTTCTAACATTTCTCCACCTGCGTTTACAGTTTATCGAATTTTATGTACCGCTCACCAGTATTTCCAACATTACCATGCTTAGTATTACGACCAGACGATATGGAACACTGTAATCTACCAAATTTAAATGCTCGGGTTCGCTGATCGGTGGTCGAACAACAATTCTACACGCCTGCATTTTGCGCTTTCAACCGGGAAGTCTAGTGTCTATGTAGTTTGCCTTTGAAATATAGGTATTTGCATGATGCAGACCCAGTTATATCTTACGTACTTACACATAACGGTCTCGACCCCACCAGCGCCAAAGATGGTGCACAAGTCCCGCCAATCTCATCTCTGACCAACCGGTTTGCACCAGAAGCGACGTTACTTGTTCACTATTATTGTGTACCTATTTCTTGTATCACACTCAATTCTGCGGCACGCAGCCGGTTCCATTTTTGACCAGAATAGTTAGCTAATACTTAACCAAACAAGCTTAGGTGTGTGTGAAACCATTCCTTCAGTGCATAGGGATAAATTGCTCGCTATCTTTGAAATGTCTCTCTGTGAGTACTCGAAAGGTGATCACGCTTTCGGGTGCTTTACTTTGGTTGAGGCGTTCCAATGGCTGAAATTTCGTGGAATAGGAAGCCACTTTCTAGCTAGCAAACCCACCGAGGTTAACTCAACGATACATCAAGCCCATTCCGTTATTGGGTACTCGTATCACGTTTCACACGCTATCACAATTGCTAACTCAACGATATTTTCAATCATTACCCTCGAGTGTTGGTGACATTCGGTGAAAGTCGAGAAAACATGGTTTTTACACCGACCAGATGAATCATGGGGGGATGTTCCAGTGGAACGGATGTCGTGGGACTGCCAGTTTGACACACAAAATACTCCGGAAGGAATTAGTTTTAATTGCTCACTTCCGAAAGACCTAATGTACATTCGCGCGCACCCAGAAAAACCAGTTGTATGTTACTGCGACAAACGTAATTACTGATACAAACATATCGTCTGCCTAATTTTTACTGACTCATAGGCGTTTGTGTGAGACTTTTCGAATTCTCAGAGTTTTGCTAACCGTTCCAAGTCAGTTCAACCATGCAAGCGTACAGTCAAGAATGGGCACTAAGTTTCCCATATGCTATCCTATTTTTTAATCTGGTTAAGTAAGACGCCACCAGATAGGAATACAATTGGTTGATTCGAGTGAAACTTTGATCATTTCCTCGCGTACTTACGTGTTAGCTGAGATCTGAATAGAGGGAAAGAGAGAGAGGACTTGTCCTCTAATGAAGCCATCTTTCTCTGATAATGTATGGTGTGAATAATCTTGATTCTCCAGTCTAGTGCTGCGCTCGAACACCACCATGTACCGGATGTACTAGCCAGAGCCAGCCGGATGAGATGCCCCTGTAGATCTAACACACCCGAAACACTGATCGACCGAAAGCGTCCGCAAATTCCTCCCACACTACTGTCTCCCAACTCTCCGTGGTTTTGGTTATCACCAGCTTCCGATCAATACACTCCTCGTAATTGTTTCATGAGAGCATATCGAATGATGTGCGGGCGATTTTGATGTATCTCTCTCGAAGCACCGCGTCTCACTGCCGGTTTCGCCAGAGTTTGGTCTCGAAACCATGAGGTCGTGGGTTTCGGGCAGACGACGACGCAGCCCACCACGTGGTTTTGAATTCACAGTTGACTTACTAAGATATTCACTATGCTGTTGGATTGCGACAAACAATCTCTCAAGTCGAACCACAATCTATATGTGCTAAATTCCGGTCAGTCCGATCACTGCCATTCGCTCTCTCAAACCTCCGGGTCCACGAGTGCGTTCGTCTTTTTTTCAGCTGGGGAGAATCCGGTTTGGAGATTGAGACTGGGACTCGGTGAATGATTGACTGATTGGGGCTGCATCACCGCCTCCAAACTGAATGGGATTTCCATGAGCTCGTTACAACGATCATAGTTGATCACGAAATGATCGCCTGCATTCCCAGCTTCGGCCATTTGAAATCGTGTTTCCCTTGGTCTCCCAGTTAGCTCGGAGACGATGCGAGATATGGTGGCGAGCTGGTTGGCCTTGGCAACAAAGACTAACTATTTGCTTTCCAATAGGTGTCGCAGTTCTAATCTATCGGGTTTGGAGTACTACTCCTAATGGCACTAGAGAATCAAATTCGGACAAGCCCCACTGTCTGGGCACTTGTTCTAGAATCGAAAGCACAGTTGAGAGGCTGTACAACACACAAAGAATGATCAAACTCATGTGCGTGTATGTGTGTGTGTAGTGCAACCAGGAGTTTTTGTTCCTTCAGCCGGCAGTTTAGGTCGTTTGTTTACTTTTCTTGGTAATTACTACTCGCTTCCTGGAGAGCCAGGAACTTCACATGTCGCTAGCAGTAGAGGTATTTTGTTGATGGGTGCCACGTGCCTTCTTCCTCACACACAAAGTGGCTCAGGTTTGCCGCTGAAGTACATCTCGTTCTTGCACTATGTGTGTCTCAGCCCGAGTACCTACGATTGGCGGCACCCGCTGTGAACAGCCACATGGCGATTGTGTGGGTGGATTGTACCGCACCATTCACATCCACACCATACGCCTCATACCTAATGTAAATCCGAAGAAATAAGACTTGGCGGCAGGTGGATGGAAATCACGACCGATTGAGAACACGCTAATTCGAAGAACAAGCAATGGGGAAACAGGCATACCGGACGTGCAAATGTCAGCGGCTGTTACACGGTCTCCCGTGATGGCCCATCGCCTACACGAAGGCTGTGAACCTTGTCGCTACAGAAGATCATTGCTAAGCTACTGGAGCCAGGAAACAAAATGTCAACTTCTCACTTTTTCCCCGGTGAGAAGCTTGAAACACCTATCAGGCATACCTGTCTGGCGCCGCTGAGGCTGCTAAGTGCAACACGTGATTTTTCCACTCCCCAGTAGTGCCATCGACACAGAACACTTGGACGAGTTCCTTCCAATTAGCCAATAAAACGCATACGCTTAGTATCTCGAGGTAGCAGTTGGTAATTTGATTGCGAAATCTATCAGGAGTGCAGGGAAATGACGGAGTCCTCCTTGTGTAATTTGATCACTTACTGGTGTAGTTCAACTGGGATGAAGAAACACGACGGTTGCCGACTCAGCCCCAGCATTGGTCACACCCTCAATGCAACTTCTGTAATGGCTACTTAAAGGTGAGGTTATAATTGGTCTGCGATGCTGACCCACGCAACTTCTTGCAACAGCCAATTGGGCACAGATATTGTCGTGTGCTGTGGCATTTGTGCCCGGTTTAACTCTCTCACGTGCTTAGTTCTCCCATTACTTTCGTATGCCGTGGTCACCTGGTGACATCGCGCCACAACCAAATAATAATTTTTTTCTGAAAGAATGAATGCATTGCCTTAACTTGTTCCGTAGATTAGTAATGGCATAACTTACGAATTTGGAAACTACACATCTGGACACACTGAAATGGGCAGCGAAAGGGCAACGACATACTAGGAACAGGGTTGTGGGAATGCCATGGTACCAGGCCAAACGCAACAATAAGTTTGTATGGTTAACACTCATTGTAAAGAACAATGGGGTGGCCCGCACGCCTACACCGATTCGCAGACAACGGTGTGCAGTTTAATTGCAAAATGTCGTAATATACACCAGCATTCGTGTAGGGG